CACACGTTTTCTTTATTTTGTACATCAGGAAGGGGGGCTAGGGAAGGATAAGTGGAAGGAGGTGAGGGAGGAATGGGGTACGATCCCCCAATGGGGAGGACTGGGCTTGCTTTGCGGGCTTCTGGGGGTGGAAGCTCTCCTGCAGCTCCCCAATTGCCCCCTCTCCTCAGATGGCAGACTGCGGCAAGTGCAGCCGGTCTGATGGCCGAGTGCTGTGATGTGCCCAGTGTGGGCACTCAGGGCACTCCAAGTCAGGACTGCTTTGCAAGCGGGGCACCCCTGAGAACTGTCTGTCCGGGGTGGGGGTCGGGTCCCTTTAAGCACAGTCCTCGGCTAACCTGAGGCAGCAGCTCCACGCTCTAAGTCCTCCTCTGATGCCCTGCCGGCACTGCTTCCGGCCATCCTTAAGCCCGGTTCAGGGTCCACTTAATGTGGACATGCTAGTTCGAATCAGCAAAACGCTAATTTGAACTAGTTTTTTAGTCTCGATCCGTTAGTTCGAATTAGCTTAGTTCGAATTAACTAATTCGAACTAAGTTAGTTCGAATTAGCGCTGTAGCGTAGACATACCCTCAGTAATTACATTATTATATACAACACCATAAGGTGATTTATCCACAATCCTAATCCACACTGCACAACAAAGGCCCTAAGCGTTTGGACATTTTTGGAAGGAAAGTTTATTCTTCATCAACCTTACAACTCCATGTAGCCAACTATTCAGCACTCTTTTCTGACTATAACTACTACAAGTTACAGGACACCTTAGAGTACCTCCCAGACCAAAACCACCCTCAATTGTAAGCTATTGTAAAGAGGACCACACAATTATCCATACAGCCCTCGAGACTTCTCTAGGTGTGGCAGACAGAGCAGCCCTCAGCATGGCAACTGCCACAATTCTGCACATAGAATAGTGATAGAAATGTAGCCGTGTTAGTCTGGGGTAGTTGAAGCAAAATGCAGGACAATGTAGCACTTTAAAGACTAACAAGATGGTTTATTAGATGATGAGCTTTCGTGGGCCAGACCCACTTCCTCAGATCAAATTCTGCACAGGGACTCGTGTTTACAGGCCGCTGGTATACCTAAAGAACTCCAAATGTAAGTGGGGAATCTTCCTTTTGATAGGTCCCACTTTTTTGCCACCAATACTGATGAGATCTTACATACTATGAAAGATTCTTGCATGATTCTAAGAACCGTTGGCATGTACGCTCTCCCAAACAAACAGCAGAGGTACAACCCTTACCCTAGACCGAGAGAGACTTTTAGAAGACCTGAAGACCTTTTGATTACAGGCATACGCAAAGACAGCAGAGATGCTGGTCACAATAACAACAGACCACAATGAACCAGCTGTACATCTCCAAAAAGCAGTTTTGAAGGTTTGGTCGGGGGCCTGAGCAACATCATCCTAACGCTATAAGTCATGCCACCCAACCTTTAATTCACCCATCGTGTGTGGCTCTTTTACCACCACTGGACTGACATAACATTGGATCGATGGCGTCTAGAAATCATAAAACAAGGTTGCTCCATCCATTTTACTTCCATCTCTCCTACCCATCCTCCTTCCTCTTTGGGGATCCTTCCCATAAGAACATTTTACATTTGGAAGTTCAACACCTACAACTAGGAGCTGTAGGTTCTTTGTCGAGAGGTGTCCCTGGTGGTGCTCCACATCACGTATTGAGTGCCCCAGCACTTCTCGATAGATTTTTCTCAGCAATGTATCGGGGGGTGCGCGGTGCATGCGAGCCTCCCTCGGTACTATCACGCATGCGCAGCCCCCCTCCGTTCAGTTCCTTTCTACCGCCCCCGGCTTCAGACGGAACTCTTTTGTTCTCGCAAAGATTTCTCTTCACAAACTTCTTTCTTCAAATAGTTGTTTAGAGTTAGTTTATTTCCACAGTTCCTATTAGTAGTTAACTAATTTACTTGTTTAGAGTTAGTCTTAAAAAAACCCACCAAAACCCCAACCGCCTGCAGTCTTGAACTGTGACCTCCAGCCATCTGGCTTTGAAAGCTGCGGGCTCTGCAAGAATTTAATGCCTGTCACTGACTGCACTAAGCCAAAAACGTGCAGAGACAGACAGCTGCAACTTAAAATGTCCTTCTTTGACAAGGACAAACTCCATACCTCTGACCTGGGCTCAGGTTTGAGCAATACACCTATGAGGCAAACGTCCCCTAAGCCATCAAAGGCAGGGATGAGCTCTGAGTCAGCAGCCCAGAAAGCAGCATGCTGAGGGGAGAAAGACATACTGCTCAGGCAATAACCGCTTGAGCGCGTTTGACTTCCCAGGTACTTTGAGTGAGCACAAAAAGGGCAATAAAAATGCAAAAAAGTCTGCCCTTTCTGAGGCAACAGGTCTTCCCATGCCTACCTCACACTCCCTGCTGTCTGAGACGTCAGTGCTTGCCCTACCACGGGAGATAGGAGATCTTCCTGCTTCTAGCATAGCACCGAGGAATCCCCTCACAGACCAACTGCTGGGTGCTGGCCCCGCTCTCCCATTACCAGGGGCAACATCTCAGAAGAGTGCTGCCTCAGCAGTGCAGGCAACTTGTTTACAGTCAGCAGAGCTATCCATGCTGCATACTCCCCTCAAAGACCAGGCAATATCTCCCACTTTACATTCGCATAATTTGACTGATAACATACATCCTCAATCTCCATTCTCTGATTACTCTGACTTTCTCTCTCTCTCTCTCTCTCTCCCCCCCCCCCCATGAGGAGGAACCCCCCCCCCCCCCCCCCCCCATGAGGAGGAATGTTTACCTGCCTTTTCACCTCATCTGTAAGCAGG